CCCCAAAACCCCAAAACCCCAAAACCCCAAAACCCCAGAAAGATAAAGCTTAATTGAAATTAATGGTATTGGTTAGCAGGAGGGATTAGAAAATTGTTCATTGGCATCATTTCACTGAGGGCTCTTTAATAGTTTCATTCTGGCTTACGGCCATCTTGGCTGGCTTGTCATCCTCCTGCTCTCTCTTTCTTTTATGTTTCTTCAAAGGAATAGGTTGAATAATTTTAAAACTTTCCTCAGTTTCCTCGCTTTCAGAGATAGTAGCTGTCTTTAAACCATTTGTGATCTCAAGCTTATTTACTCTCTGATCCAACTGTTTTAAATGTGGAGTCTAAGTGGGGGTTAGCATGCGAATTGGTCTTTGAATCAATGTTGATCATTAAGCGAATTCATGAAAAAACGGTGGTTCATAGAAATAGTCAGGTAATAAACCTCCCAAAAATATCTAGTCTGTTATTTATTTGATCACATTTGAGAAATAAAGAATGAAAGGACTTACATCTGTTCTCGTTTTTATCAGCTTTCACAGTCATCCTTTGAGGGACCTTCTTTATGCTTTCTTTGATACTTTCCTCTTCCTCGTGATTGATAGTGTATACAGTCTGCATCCGATTCTTTTCAATTGGGTCCATTGTAGATGAAGGTAGTCAATTAGCTTAACAAATATTATAAAGTTTCATCGAAATTTGCAATATAAAGCCTCATAACTAACTTACGTGTCGTTTCATTTCCACCCAAAACTTTCTTTTCCTCAAGGGAGAAGAACCCTTTGCCACTTTTGTTACATTGAGTAGCATTTGACTCCTTTATAGTATCTCTTTTCACTGGTATTAATGATTCTTTATTTACTCTCGACCTTGTATACCACGAAGTAAGGGAGAACTTTTCCTCTAAAGGTAAAAGCACGAACTTACTCAGCCATATCAGACAGCATGTCTTTAAATACCCCGATTTCATGGTAATGGGAGTCATCAAATTTGTACCAAAACTGTCCCTTCCGAGAATAGTTTATATAGTGACCTCCGTTGTATCCAATCACACTAAAATTAGTGTGAAAACAAGAACGATAAGGGCGCTTTATGATAGCACACATTAAAATCCCTTTTTGAAATTTGTAAGTTTTGGCCTACCTATGTACTGAGACCATCCTCCTATTCTGTCAAAACGAGATAGATCTCTTGTATGAGCTATTGGACTTGCTCAGAGTCATGTTCTCGTCATCTTCCTCATATATGTCCATTCAGAGGCTAATATTGAATCTTTTTGGGAGTATATATCAGAAGAATCTAAAGGAATCAGTTAATAGTAAAAGCTTACCTCCGGAAATCTTCCTTTGAACACTCCTCACCCATAGAGGTGTAGTTAAAGTACTCTCCGTACTCACAGTTAAATACGAAAAACTTTGGGAGCTTAGTGATGGTGTAAGCCTTACGCTTAGTTACAAATTGGTCAGGATCGTCACTTTCTATTAAAGATTTGATACTAAATAATTTCTTGTGATGATTATTAAGCCAGACATGATGAGCAAAAAGGAAAAATTTCCCTTGGATCTTCTTTTTCGCCGATTCTCGATCCCATTGAAATTTGACTAATTCTCAAAGAACAGCCCGGAAGTCTACTCTGACGATATCACTTGTTCCTCATTTTACTTTCTCTACACCATCAACTTCGAATGTGCTGTGGAGGTAATCATAGCTGAAATAGTCGTCAATAATTGCGTTTGTAGCATCTTCCTCTTCACCAGGGCGCTTGAGGTTAGATCTGTGGGTTTATTCCTAAATTACTTACTTAAGCGATCTTGTTCTTACCAGCAAGGATACTCCATATAGCTGGCTGAGTCTCTATAAAATAATGATTCCTTAACTAAAGTCTCACTTACCTTGCAGCCAATTTTTCTAGGCTTGGTAATCTTCGCTAGTTTGGAGAGTATACTACTATCTGTGATGTTCTGAGAAGTAGTATCGATAGACCCATTTTCAAGCTTTACAGATTCTAATGCAGTGGTATCAGTACCCATAATCTTTCTCAGGACTCTATTAAAGAGAACGAATACGGATTCAGGATCTCCTTGCTGATTATATTGAAAAGTATTTGAGTAATTGTCACTCAATTCTTTCCTTAACCAGTCCATATTGAGCGGACATTGCTGTAAAAGTGTTAGATCCTAGGAAGCAATTTTAAAGTGCTGGAAATCAAAATCAAGCATACATCTTTACTGTTGAGGTCATAATCTTTAGCCCTGAGGAACAAATCTCAGATGGCTTTGACGTATTTTGGATGCTCTTGTTTTGAAGCCTCTTCAGAAGCTGCATAAATGAAGTTCATAAGGTCCTCAATGCTAAATTTTATCAGCAAACCTTACCTTAGATATAATTGGATCACAGAAATGATGAAGCAATTATTTCTGGATGTCTAAAACAGATTAAAAACTAGTTTCTTCAATATCGATAGCGGAAAACACATGATAAAATTACAGGCTAATTGACGAATTTTGTTCAGGCAAAGTTCTAAATATCCAAGAAATAAAAAGACATGTTAGATTTTCTGGGATGAAGAGAAACTTTACCTTCTCGCTGATATATTCCCCGCCGTTCTGAAATAAAACGAAGTTTGACATTTATCTATGTATCCTGATTCGATGAAATTTTATTATATTGAACGTTGATAGTAATTTGGGGTTTTGGGGTTTTGGGGTTTTGGGGTTTTGGGG